AAGTGCATGAGACAAGGCTGAAGCTACTCAGCCTCTAAGAGATTAGGAGACCTTCCTGCAGCCAAGTATCTCCTACCGCTGCTGCAGGCTGTTCCTACCTTCCTGCGAATGACCCAGGGCTGCTACTGAGAGACACAATGTACCACACAGGCTCCTGCCTCTTACAGAAAGGCAATTTCTGTGTTCCTCATGTTTAAGCCAGAAATCAATACAAATACCTGAGTAAACATTAAAAAAAATCCTTTTTTTTTGCCATCAGCCATCTAAAACATTGCATCATCTCAAGAGTTCCACCAAAGGTTTATGTGATCCAAACTGAGTAGTAGCTGAGTAACCCCCCACAGCCCCAGAAAAGACCTTTGCAGGTAGGAGCTCTGTGGAAATCAAAAGCACCTTCTGAATGTCATACCTACATATTTATACAATAATTATTTTTGCTCCCCAACACGAAGACATCAGAGACAACGCTTGCAACTAAACTCTAAAGACAAAGGAAAAGAAGTAATTTTTCATTCTGCACTAGCTTTGCCTCCTGAAGCATTCAGGACATAAATAAAGCAGACCTATATTATATTTTTATATTACTTACAATATCATATATATCTCTATCGTCTTCATCAGCTAAAGTCAACAAAGCTATCAATGGATAGCGAGATCTAGGCACTGGGCCAAAATCAACAACTTGAGCATCTTCTGGTAACTGACAATATTTTTCTTCCTTGTCATGTTTTTTTATGCTTTATTTGTGTCAAGGAAAACAATCGGTGTCACTGAAATTGAAGACAAATGTGACATTTGCACAAAGACTATTTTTTTTTTAAATCATATGCATTCATAAATATCTTGTGCCAAAAGCTGCTGAATGCTCATGAGTCTCAGCAATCCCTGTGCCAATAAATTAGCATAGTTTGTCAAAACAGTTTTGAAAAGGATACAAGTACTGTTGTCGATGGAGGTATTCGCTGTAGAGAGCATCCTCTAATGCCTGCGGAGTCTTTATTCTGAAGCAGTAGACATGTTTTTGCAACGCTTCATGGAGTTTCTGAACACTGCAGCCCCAGTAGCAGGTAAGAACACAGTCTTCCAGACAATCAGGTGTCAGAGCTATACCCTCTTGCAGAGAGAAGATAAGGACTTCATTAACTTCGTTAAATCACCGAGGTGCAAGATTTCTGGAATTGCTAATTGTGGGTTCTTAAAAAAGGCAACAGGCAAAACACAACTTCACTGTCATGGATTTGTATTATTCAAATTTAATCTTTTGAAGTTGAGGCTAGGCTTAGTGCTTATGGAAGTCAACAGAGGTGAGGACATAGGTGCAAGGAGGTAAAATGGCTGATCAAGCTATCAAAAACACGTGCCCCTAATGTGGGGGAAGCTGTAGCTGCTGGAATCATTTTACACCAGAGCAACACCAAAAGTTCCACAGGAACTTAAGGAACAATTTCTTCCCAGTGAGGGTGCCAGAGCACTGGAACAGGCTGCCCAGAGAGGTTGTGGAGTCTCCTTCTCTGGAGATCTTCCAAACCCGCTTGGACGCAGTCCTGTGCCACGTGCTCTAGGTGACCCTGCGTGTGCAGGGGGTTGGACTAGATGATCTCTAGAGGTCTCTTCCAACCTTGAGCATTCTGTGATTCTATGAAATCCCCTGCCCAAAGGCTATTCCCTCCTTAGCTAACAGGATGACCTGCATCCCCGGCCTTCGAGATGCTCTGTTGTTTCAGAAAGCAAGGGGCTCTCCTCGTTAAGCAGGGGGAGGAAGGAGAGTGCCTAGGAGCTCTATTTCTTTTCTCACACCTTAGTGCAATAAATGCCAGGCACTGAGCTGTTAGAGCTGGAGGTTTCAGTGCCCAGCGGTGCAGGTTTGCAGGAGTTTTTACTTCCTATTCTAGGAAGCCAAGAGAGAAACATCTCAAGAGCTGAGCACCCAGAGTACATAAACATTTGCTGCACAAATAGAAGCAAAACTCTTGAAGAGCTTTATCAAATTTAAGTGCTCAAGCCTTGTAAAAACTCAGCTTACCAGAAAACTAAGATTTGTGTGTGTGTGTGTGTGTGTGTGTGTGAAGAGTCTGCATTGACTGCTCCAGCATTTTCCTTATTCATAGGAAGCCTTCATGTCTCTGTTGGTGGAAGATGCTCAGTCTTCCTTACTACTCCTCAGCAATGCAGAAGGGCAAGAATTTCACTTTTTATGTGGGTAGTTTCAAGGGTGCTAGCGACTATGCCAGCTCTGATCCACAAAGATTCACAAAAACACAGTTTCCACTGAAACACAGAGATATCTACACTTCTTAAAGCGGTTAACTGGATATCTGGGTCTTGGATTTTTAACTGGATGGCATATACTTCGTAATATATGAAGTTTATAAAAACACCCACAATAGCTTGTGATCAGCAAGTGTTCTTTTAATTAAAAAATCCATTATGGTGTATTTCATTAATAATGAATGGTACATAAATATGCAAATATTTCACATTGGAAAAACACCGCGTCTGTGAGGTGGGTTAAAATAGTTATTTATGTTGTGATGATGGATGAAGGATGTTTCTAAGGAACACTGATAGAGGAAGAGAGAAGGACTAGAACAAGAAATGAAGGGAAAGCTCTGACTAACAAAAGTTAAGCATATCAGAAATCTACTGACTTGTTACTGAAGCTCTAGAAGGATGAGGAATTTCTAACCCAAAAGGATTCTTCACTTGTCTCATCTGCTTTTTCAGTACTCTGGTGCTGGATTCTGTCTCTTCGGAGTTTCTCAGGATAACGGGAACACCCAACCCAAACCTAAGAGACATGAAACAAGAGCAAGTGGACTATGTTAGTGGTAGCTTGTTTGAATTGTTCTTCAGCTCCAAATAACAAGTGGAACAACACACAGAACTAGCTTGGCTTTGCTAGGATGCACGGGTAATGTAACTGCCAATCTGACTAAAGCGTAAAAGATGGGAGTTTTAACACTGCCAAATAAAATATTTAAAGGCAGAATATTTTATTCCTGGAACATTTCAAGGAAAAGAGTGAAATTAATGAGGATGGTCAATGCCCTCTAGTGGTAAAGGTTAGCCAAAGCTCCCAAATGAACTGCGCTCATAGCACCAAAGTTACTGTTTTAAGAGATGGAACAGAATTAACAAAGTAGGTGCTTTGGAAGGACGCTATAAATGGATTTTCCAGCCATAAAATATGCGCAGCTCTAGCTACAGCCAGACAGAGAATTTTAAGGGAGAAAGAGATCCTGGTTTCCCATGTTAATGTTGATTATAAAAACACGTTGATACTCAGTCAGGTGCCTTAAAGCCTCCGGTTTAAGCCAGACCCCAAATGCAAAGTAGTCAAGACTGAATCAAAGCCGAGACTCTAATACCTCTTCACAGGTGAAACCAGAACATGAGCCCAGCTGATATTTTGAGTCTAAAGGGACAATGAAGCAACTGCTTAAAAACTTAGAGATCGTATGAATCAAAAGAAAATCAAAGAAACCAAGGTGGGATACTTTGGGACCATTTCTAATATCAGTAAAACACCCAGAATTTTCGCGTTGCCTCAAGCTCTTAAAGAAATCATTACAGAAAATCATAATCTACAAAAATTTGTTTTACAATAGACTGGCTTTTATATTTTGCTAAAATAATTATTTTTTTAAGGTGACAACAACTACTCTGAGTAACCTAAATTGATTAGAGAAAGGCTATTTTGGAGACTGAAGAGTTTTTCCTTGTTCCATTAATCCAGTCCTCTGTAGTAAGGCATCGGGCAGAGCCTGTGGGGGGCTTTTGTTAACACATTGCATAAAAGTTATTAATTGGCCCAGGCTGTAGTTTGATTAATTTGTGTTCCTGCCCGTGCCAGTTGTACTGGTTAAGTTGAGGCTTTGAACTGTGGTTTTTGCAGCCACCAGCATCCTGCTTGTTTGGAATTTTGGTTTATGCGGCCACCAGCATCCTGAAACGCACTGGTTCTTTGTGGCAAAGTAGGAATGACATCAAGCTCAGGCTCTTCCCTGCATCAATAGCTCCCATTTAACATACTGAAAGAGTAGCTGTCACAGGGAGACAGATCTCCCAAGAATAACTTGAGAGGAAAAGGGAACTGCCAACTCAGATGGACTCGCTTTGGAAATTGCTAAAGAAATTCCAGGTACAACACAGCTCTGAGCAAATGGAGCATTTTGTGGCTTCGCGGCTGCTTCCACCTGTTTTTCTAATCTTTTCCATCTCCTGAAAGACGGAGCTGTTAAACCAAGAAAAGCAGAGCTTTTACAGACATTGGGCTCCTAAAAAACTGCCTGTTAATTCACGTTGGAGGGATGCCATCTGTGAGACTACCAGGCAAAAACATCAGCCAAAAATGATTTTCAAGCTGGGGAAACTACTTCAGAGAAAAATCCCCCAAGCCAGCATCCTCAGGAGCAACAACCTGCTCCTGGCACCTAGCAAATGGGCTCCCTGACCAGTTACTGCCTTGCCTGCAGATACCCCAGAACGGAAAAAGAGCTTGGGGCATCTATAGGTATTGCTATCTTTGCAGAAGAAAACAAGAAAAAAATCTTTCATGGAAACATTTGTGTTCCTTATGGAGCACATAGCACTCGACCACGTTTAGTTTGTGCATAGGGAGGGTCAAACCTCTGCCTGCTGTAAGTGGACAGGGCTCTGCGGGTTTCACTGCGATGAAGTCTGGCAGTTCAACATCTCCTAAGGAAACCGGGTGCAGCAGCTGCTCCGCTTATTCCGTATCCAGGATTCAGCGGAGTTAATCTCTGCAGCAGCACGTAGAGAAGCCTCCTGTCTTGTGCTATCTGGCTGCTTCCAGAGTAAAATACCCTGTTCTTCAAAAACTTTCTTCACTGGTCATAAGCAACAGAATAATTAGCATGAGAAGCAGCCATGGGGGAAAAAAAAAAAAAAAAAGCTCTAGTAGAGTTTTAGCAACAGCGGGTGGCAAAAGCCCCTTTCTGTACAACAAGAAGTTGCAGGGCTTTACACATTTTAATGTGGTATTCAGGGCATGAAGGATAGAAAAGAGGGTTCTGCAAAATACTCAGCAGCCTAAATCTCTCCTCATTCCTAAGCCCAGAGCACCTGATGGGCTGGCTCTAGAAACCCTCCTGTTCAGCAATACCCTGTGTCGACCCCCCTGCACGTGTCTAAGGCTGGCCATAAAAACAGACAGTCCTCAAATCAGTGCGGGATTTGGGAAATTAAAACAAAAATGCGTTCATAAGGAGTTGCTCCTCTTCAGGCTGACTTACAGCATCCTGAATGCATCCATAAAACACACTAAATGTCCTCACAGCAATGTGCTGAGCATTACATGTTCATATAGCACCAATTGTTGTCACGAGCTAGGAAGTCCCAGAGTATTTCAGCATGGCTGCAACTGCAAGGACACCAGGAGATCTTGCTCCTACACCACAGTATGGCAGAGTTCAAAGGGAGCTGCAAATTCTTCTGAAAATCCAGTCAAATACTCAGACGTGAACTTCATACCGCTGCATTTTCCCAATTAACAGCTCCTGAGCAAACTTGTTTAAACCCAACTTGAGTATATGCAAGCTGGAATATTGAGTGTAAATATATCTAGAAGCTCCGAGGGAAATAAAAAACACATCTGGGCAGTTCTAGGCCCACCCTGTAGCCCTGGAAGCATCACCAGATGTATGCAAAAAGTAAGGTTTGCTTTTGCATCCTGCGTGCAGCTTAATTCAGGTGCTTTGCTGCAGCGGATGGCAAAGCGTTATACAAAAGCAGAAAAAAGCCAGCGCTAGTGGAAGCGATGTAAAACAAGAATAAAACTTTGCACCAAGCTCACCTGAAAGATCTAACGGCCAACAAAGTGGTATGAACTACGGGGAGGCCAGACTAAAGGAAAAGCCAAGCAAAGGATTTATAAGCTGCCAAGAGAAAAAACAACTACGGCTAAAATGTCTGCGCTGCAAGAAGAGGGACTCGGAGGTGCTGCATTTGGATACAGCGGGATAAGCCAGCGGGAGGAAACGCAGCACCTCCTTTCCAATGTCCCCAGGAGCGGCTCATCCACAGACCCCATGGCAGATGTTCCCGTTGTCCCCCGGTGCTCTCCCCGGGACGAACGTCTGCGTTTGTGTTCACAGACGAGCGGGAACGGGCAGGGAGGCAGCAGGGCGAGTGAC